CCCCTTCTTGTCCATCTTCCTCTCCTCTTTCTTCCCCCTCCCCCTCTCCACTCCTCCCTTCTCCACCTCCCCTTCCTCCTCCTCCTCCTTCCCCTTCCACTTCCCCCTCTCCCTCTCCCCCTCCCTCTCCTTCTCCTTCCTCTTTGCCAGCGTCTTCTTCTTCTTCTTCTTCTTCTTCTTCGTCATCATTTGCCCCCCCACGCCGGCTGAGATCGGCCCCTCCTTTGTCTTCGTTGTCTATATTGGGACGTCAGCAGGTTCGTTCATTCTCTCCTCCTCCCAGTCCCCCTTCCTCTCGACGTCGTGTTGATGCTATTCTGCGGGGTTCTTTGTCTTACTGACAGCCTTCTCTGCCACGTCGACGGCGTTCGTCATTCATGCGCCGACCCCTCCAGATCAGACCTAGCTTTCCAGTGGTGACCGAATCGGATCTGCGGGCAGATCTACCAAATGCTTGTGGGTTGACAGCCATAAATGTCTGCCTACCTCAATGGCTTATCAGCGTCAATGTTATACTGCTTCCCATTTTGTTACAATTGCTTATCAGCGTGACGCTGTTGAAAATCAGTTGTTGTATGACCATATTGGTCCACCTCCTGAAGGTAGTAATTATACTACGTCAGGAGGCTTTGCTGTAAATGTCTTACAGCTAGCTTTCCACGGTCGCCACCTTCTTCTTATGCACATCATGCGACGCCAGGGGATGGCCTTAATGACCATCCTCCTCATATTTCTGCCTATATTTTGCACAGACCCGGCCATTATATGGCACTCGTCCGTGCAGCTGCCCAGTGGGAACTGTGGGATGGTGGGACAATGATTCAGGTTATTGTCAACATAAATGAATTTCTGTGTGCATTACCGAATCGTACTTTATTCTAGATTATTGATCGACCATCTCTCGTGTGACACCTGGCGGGACAGGCACGCGGTGCGTATTGGCTGCGTGCGGAATTCATCACCTTTGCCATCAACATTATCAATCTATTGCTGCCGCCGCCGCCGTCTGTGCCGAAGGGTGTCCAACATTTCCTCAGTGTACACATCCCTGGCACCCAGATATTCGCTGTCCCTTTTGTGCTCAAGGACCCTATCAGGACTGCATGATGCCGCACTGTGATGAACGTCCTGCTGTTTTTTTGACATGTGGACAGCATGTTCTTTGTCAGGACTGTTCTGATCGGATTGTAAGTGCTAAGTAGCCGTCGTGCTGAATGCTGTGCTGGCGCAGCTCTCCTTGGGTATCCTTGTGAACATCCACGTCATCCTCAGCGTGCCTGTCCTATTTGCCGGGGTGGGGTGGGGTGGGGTGGGGGCTCCTCTTCCTTACTGGTCAATAGAATCAAGCAGGTCAGGAGCAACACTAACTGTAGGACATAAAGCTTTAGACAAGTAGCAGGGTCCAAAAAAAGGACAAATTGCTGAAGAAAAAAAGGACAAATTGCTGAGGAAAAGAAAAAAGAAAGGGAAAATTTTCGAAATGCCCCCGAAGTTTGCAGTTATTTGCGGCGTGCCCCTGTGAAGGCCGACTTACCCTGTAGTGCCCCTCAGGCCTCTGAAATTTTCCGCAGGCCCCTGTCAGCATGGGGCGTAACTTTCCGATATGCCCTTACTGGACTGCTGGTGGTGTTTCGTCGGTCGGTCCTTGAAATGCCCTCACGAGGGGCACACATCTTTCTGTGATGCCCTTGCAGCAGTGGCGGCAGGAATTCGAATTCAAAGT